GAAAGATCTGGAATACGCTGAGAGATATGCAACAGAAATTGAGATGCATCCTCCTGCCTGGGTCGTAATCGCCATCCTGCTAGCAGCGGACGAAGATGTCGCAACCTCCGAACATCCGCATGAGAGGATCTGCCATTCAGGGAACCTATTTCCGTTAGGATGGAATTTAAAGAAGGATCTGGGAACAGTCCGTCTGACAAGAGAGAGATAAGGATATGAACGACCGTGTGTGCATAGCACAGTTGATGCGGATTATGATAAGCTAGATGCCAGGCAGCGTCTTGCATGGAAGCTGTGGGAGGTGCAGTGGTTGAACGACCCGAGACGCGTGCAGTGCATGTCAGCAAAGAAGCTCGGCTGCTGGAGGAAGCCTCCTGGGAGGAAGCCTCCCTTCCTCTCACCTGGCTAATTGGAGGATCTGCACTGAAGAGATCTGGCAGTTCCAGAGGCTTGGCACAAGCTGCACTCATGGCGTATGTCTGAAGCAGAACCACACATTGCTCTGCATGGCGTACTGGAGCATCTACCACAATGCGACAATACCTACATTCTTCTTTTTTGTGCAGGAGGCGCTTATGTGTTCGCATGTTGGCAAGAATGGATGCCGAGGATTGTGCCCAGAAAGCGGGATGAGCTTTCTGAATGTGCTGTTTCACTCCTTTGTGGCCAACAATGTATTGCCCACAGAGACTGCAGTTCGTTAATAGATGCTGAGTGACATGTCTCTTTTTTAGTAGAAGATCAGGATCCTTCTTAAGTTGTTCCTGCACGCTAGACTGATAGATCATAGCTATGCTTTCTGAGCTTGTACAGGATTTGGCTCGTTCTTTCAGCTCGTGCAGCTGAGGGCAAATGCCTGACTCCACATGTCTGCGAAGTTGATGCATTGTGCGCAACTGCCTGTTGCATGCCGCACATTGCGGAAGTCCTTTGCAGCTATGCACAGTGACCTGAAATTTTGGGCCTAGCTGATTCGCACGCTGTCCTCCATGCTTCACCAGAGTATGTTGCTGAAGACCCTTAGCGCTGGAAAATTTCCGATCGCACAGAGAGCACGGTACCTCCTGGTCTGCCTCGGTCAGGTCCAAATGCATGCTCTGAAGCTCCTGTTGCAGCGCAACAATCCTACCTCTAAGTCCCAGATACCACTGTATGTTCTGATCCGGGTTGTACTTCTGACAGGCATCTAGTGCGTCTTGATAGTTTTTCATCTGGCTGATCAAAACTGCTTGAGGAGTCTGAACCTTATATTGCTCGAACAGAGTCTTCGTGTCAATATGGCTGTAGTGCTGATGTTGCTTAAAGATGGATCTTAGCATCCTCGAGTATTTACTCTGAAGCTTCTGAAGACCTGATGAGGTGATGCCAGTGGCCACAAGCCCATGCAAGAGTGAGGATTCCACATAGACCCTCCAGATCTCCAACTTCTTTGAAGCCTCCAAGGCCTTAGTGGAGCACAGGATGTGTCGAAGTAGCTCAAACTTGCCTTGAGCTTGGGCGATCCTATAGTCAACAGTCTGGTCTTTGTAGGATCCATAGCTGAGCTGCACCCCTAGATATGTTAGTTTGTGATGAATCGGAATCTTATGTCCTGAGGGAAGGACGATGTGCAACTGCTTCTCTTTGCGCATCGTGTGCTTCTTGCGAAAGATGGACTGCTGAGTGCCCTGAACCATTAGCAAGGCTTTGGACTTCGTTGGATTGACTTCCAGCCCCACGTCCTCAAGAGACTGAAAGAGAGCCTCTATTCTGAGCAGGACTTTCTGAAGTTCAGGAAAGCTCGAGAAGGTTTCCTGGAGCAGGAAATCGTCTGCAAAGACTGTTAGGATGTCCCTAGCTTGCTTGCTATCTGGGCCCCATTTCTGCTCCATTCTGCTCATGACTAGAAGTGTCAGCGCAGACCACAATGCCGGGGCTAGCTTGCAACCTTGTTTGATTCCTGAAGAAGTGGGAACTTGAATCTCTAGTCCACTTGTGCCCATGTTGTAGGAGGTCTCACTGTGTAGTTGAACTACCAGTTCTTTCGTAACAGGGTCTGTTCCCAGGCGATCCAAGGCAGCTAGCAGCTCATGTCTATTAACAGAATCAAAAGCTTTGCTCAGATCGACCGAAATAGTAAGTGCCCCTGACAGCTGAGCCTGCCTGGCTCCGCGTTGGGACTTGTGCAGGTCCCTGCGATGCACTTGACGGAGCTGCTGCACGAAATCAAGGTGCTGACATGCTTTCGCGATGGCGTCCCGCACCCCCCTCTGCCTGATGTAGGCAAATTGAGGCTGAAGCTGTGAGCTCTCCTGCAGTGCTGGTGCAATGCGAGTCTTCACTGCGCCTGCTAGCACTTTGCCTGGCACGCTGATGACTCCTATGGGCCTCAGGTTTTTCATGGCGGTGGCTGGCTTGCCCGGCTTGGGGATCCATGCAATTCGAGGGTCCTTTAGATAAGGGGAAATTTCAGATTGGGACACCTCAGAGTTGATTAGACCTGCTATGTGTTCGTGGGCTTCAGGACCTAGACTCTTCCAAGCTGATACTGGGGCTGAGGTGCTGGGGACTGCTTTCCCCACTGGCACTGTCTTGATTTGTGAGGATACCTGCAAGGCGGTGATCGCTGCTCTGGGCACAGCAGCTACTGAGTGCAAAGGAGAATTTTTGGAGAAGATTTGACTCGAGTATTCGCGCATAGTTTTTAGTGAGGCCTCCGTATCAAGCGGCTCACCTGCTTGATCCCTTAGGTTGACTCTCTGCACTGGGCGCCACGGAGCAAGTTTCCTGAGAGTATGAGCCAGTTTGTGGGATTGTTGCCTTTTATCTTCCTGGGCTTGTAGAAGCAACTGCTCTTGCTTCTCTAGCTTTCTTTGTTTTTGCTGCTTTTTGAAAGTCCGCGCCTCCTCCTTGATGTCCTCCACAAGCTTCTGGCATTCTGAATTATGCTCGGTTCCAGCCCTCTTGTGCGCCTGGATTTGCCGCACTTTCTTCCAATATTCCTGATGAATAGGACCTGCTACTGGCTGAGACTTGCGTGGAGGAGGATAGTGCTCAGCTGATACACTAACCATCACTTCATCCAGTTCTTGCCAAGACGGTCTCACTTGCATTGTCCTCACCACTGCTTCCGTCAGACGATGTGAGTATGCCTGCCAGTTGTCATCTTTCCGCCGAAAGCTCGCATCCAGGGCTGTGGCATCAAACGGCCGTGGCTTGCTGGGTGTAGGACTGTAAGGAGGAATGAACAGAGTGGCTCGCACTGGAAAGTGTTTTGATCCATCTCTGTAGGCAGCCACAGGAAAGTTCTTATCCGAGTAGGCCTCCTTGGATCTCCTCCGAGCATCGTGCAGTCTGACCAGCAGAAAATCGATCTGAGAGGAATATGTGCCATCACTGTTAGCATACGTACTGCGATGGCCAGAAGCCCATGTGTTCAGCGCAGTTAGTCCACAGGATTTGCAGAGCGAGGGCAGTGTCTTCACATCCGCATTTGCAAACCGTACTCGATGAGGCACACTTGGTCCGATATGAGGACGTTCAGTCACCGCATGCGCATTGAAATCCCCAGCCACAATCAAGAAGTCACGTTGTGGGACTCTCTGTATTCGATTTTCGAGCTGTGTCATCACGTCCTTTCTCCTGCCTCTGTTTTCCGTCTTCGAGAGCTTTGAATCCCAGACGTGCTGGTACAGGTTCAGGAGATGTATTCTGGATCTCTGCCACGGGATCATGACGTGCTGCAAATGCCCTGGAACAATGGAAGTGCTGCGAATTTCTGAAAGAGGAGCCAGTGAGCTATGCACCAAGACAACCAGGCCAGCCTTGTGTCTGCTTGTTGAGCCACAGGTTAGGACTGACCACGGGCCTGAGCTGTAGACCTGGTCCTGCTGCCAATGCGATTCCTGCAGGAAAACGATTTTGATGTTCTTGTACTCTGTTGTTGCCAAAAGGGCCAGAATCTCGTTCCAAACTCGACTTGTAATTGAGCCTGCGTTCCAAGTAAGGACTTCCATGTCAAATTTGTGATGGATCTGTCTGTTCGGTTGAAAAGAACGCCTCTCCGCTTTCGCAGGAGACGCGAATTGTCCTTCATGAGCTCCTAGAGCCTGAGCTGTCAGAAGACGGCCTTTGTAAAGTGCTGCTCCCTTCGCCAGGGCAACTTTACAAGCTCTTTGGTAGCTTCGCTTGCCGGCTTTGTTCATGGTTAGCTGACTTCGCTGCGCATGCTGCTCAGCTTCATCGGGGGGCGCTACTTCCCGAAACCCTCGATTCTGATCCATAGCTGGACCCTGGGACTTGGGACCCAGGCACCCAAGAAAGCTCGCTACGGCTACGAGAAATAAAATCCTCATCTTGGGCCAGAATCTTACAACAACAACAACAACAACAACAACAACAACAACAACAACAACAACAACAACAACAACAACAACAACAACAACAACAACAACAACAACAACAACAACAACAACAACAACAACAACAACAACAACAACAACAACAACAACAACAACAACAACAACAACAACAACAACAACAACAACAACAACAACAACAACAACAACAACAACAACAACAACAACAACAACAAACAAACAACAACAACAACAACAACAACAACAACAACAACAACAACAACAACAACAACAACAACAACAACAACAACAACAACAACAACAACAACAACAACAACAACAACAACAACAACAACAACAACAACAACAACAACAACAACAACAACAACAACAACAACAACAACAACAACAACAACAACAACAACAACAACAACAACAACAACAACAACAACAACAACAACAACAACAACAACAACAACAACAACAACAACAACAACAACAACAACAGCAACAGCAAACAACGCAAACTAAACCTCAAAAACCTGAAGCCAAAGCCCAAAACCCCCAAACCCCCCCAAAACCTCAGACCTTAACCCTAAACCCAGAACCCTAAACCCTCAACCGCAAAACCCCAAACCCGAACCAGAAACTTGGCGCCCGCGCGCGAGGACCATGAGCTCTTCCACGAGGTGATGGGAAACCTCGAGCTCGCCCCGGCGGTGTCTAGGGTTGAGGGTTCAGGGTTTAGGGTAAGGACCCAAGGTGGGAGTCTGGAAGTTTAGGGTTAGGGGTTGAGGGGTTTAGGGTCTAAGGTGTGGGGGCACAGGGCTTGAAGGCGTTTAGGTTTTGGGGTTCGCTGCTCTCATGTGGTTCTCAGGGGGTCGGTAGGCAGCGGATTCAAATCCCTTTGTGCAGCGGCGCCAGTCGAAGACTTGACTCAGTGCTCTCAGCACGGGTAAGTGGGATGAGCGACGCTACCTTTTTCGGAGGGTAAGATTCGGTGGCCTAGTCAAACCCCAAAACCTCAAACCCTGAGCCTTTAACATTGGGATGTTCCTCCCTATGCTAACAGTCCTTGGTAATTAGGGATTCTAGTACCCCCTATTATAGTTAATCCCTTTTAAGGACTGCTACTATAAGGTGGAACATCCCAACTTAAACAACTCAAGCTTGCAGGCGGTGGGGTCCCCCACAGACGACGCCGACTCCCGCGCCTGCTCGAGTGGTGCTAGCTCTAATACCAACTTCAAACCCCTGAATTTTCCAGCCCCACACCCCCAAACCCCAAAGACACCCCTCAACCCCTACACCGTAAACGCCTAATAGGGCCCAGCGTCCCTAAGTTCCTCCATACCTGGAGGTTCTTCCAGACGGCAAATACGGCTGTAGTTCATGCTTCTCTACAGAGAAGTGGAAGCCCTGATCAAAAATCCTGTGCCAACGCGCGGGGAAAACCGACAAAGATCACGGACAACTCCGGCAATGACCGAATAGGAAGCTACGCTGCTGGGTCTGTACCTTGAGGTTTCGGTTTCGGGTTTTCGGGGGGCGGGGGGGGAGGCTGCACATGCGTGATCTCAGTGCAAGAACCGAGCTTGGGCTCAATCTGGCCTAAGTGGTAGTTTAAGGGGTTTTGGGTTTAGGGTTTAGGGTTTAGGGGCTTTAGGTCTAGGGTTTAGTAACACAGGAAAAAGAAGAAATCCAGAGCAGGAGCTCCAAGAAAACTTGGACTTCTCACCCCATCGCATTGAGACTTCTCCAACACTGCTAGAGCCCTAACAAACCCTAAACCCTAAACCCTAAACCCTAAACCCTAAACCCTAAACCCTAAACCCTATCTGGGGCAGCGTGCCAACCCCACCACCCGTCCATCGTCATCCAGCTGGAAGGATGTGCTGCTCCTAGCCACCGAGCTTCGCAGTCTTAACAGGGTTTATTGTTTAGGGTTTAGGGTTTAGGGAAAAATCGTTCTTAGCGCTGGCCCCTTAGACCTCAGACCAAGATGCTTGTCTCTACAGGCAGCACTCTCTACGAGAAGCATGAAGTGCTACATGTAGAGCTCCGAAACTTCTGTCGGAGAAGCCAGCCAGGGCCAGCCCAAAAGCAAAGAGACGGGACAAGTTCAGGCGAGTCGGGTTGCGGGCTGCAAGGGCTGAAGGCTTCGAAGGTTTGGGGTTTGGGGTTTGGGGTTTGGGGTTTGGGGGGCTTCAACACTGACCAGACCATCTCGCACGGGAGCCTGAAACAAGGGCTGCTGCCGTGCTTGGAGGTTTCGGGGCAATTGCCGTACCAAGGGCGTTATAGGTAGGCGTTACAGTGAACTCCAGAAAATTGGAACATGGTTTAAGGATGATTAGAGCTGGGATTCCCGTTAATATGCATTTTTCGGTATGGGGACAAGGATGTCCCAACTTTTTGGACGTTACCGTACTCTAAACCCGAAAACCCTACATCCAAAACACTCAACACTAAACCCTAAACCCTAAACCCTGTTTCTTGCTATCATTGAACCCTACACCCTAAACCCGAAACCTTAAACCCTAAACCATAAACGCTTCTTCTTGTTATCGTTGGAGAGGAAGCCCAAAACCCCAAACTCTCAGCCGGCGCCTTTCGAGCACCATGGCACCCTCCTTCAGACGCTGCTGCCGCCGAGCCTTGAAGCATCTTGGTTTTGGATGTTAGGGGCGGTTTAGGGTTTAGGGTTTAGGGTTCAGGGTTCAGGGTTTAGGGTTTAGGGTTTAGGGTTTAGAGTTTAGGGGTCGTTTGGGAAGTTTGGGATTTGGGGCTTCGGGGGCTTATGGGGCCGTATTCACTCAACAGCCAAGCTCGAACCACTGCCCAAAAAATGTAGAATAAGCATCCCTACAGTGCCCTTATAAGGAGGAATGTGCTCGGGTGGTTCTTAAGCAAACAGTAGTAAACCCCAGCCCTCCGGGAATCCCGAACAGCAACTGCTTTCGAAACCCTGCGACGATTTCTGAGCTATACGGCCCCTTGTAAGTATAGCCAACTAAGCACATCTCATAAAGCCTTAGCCCTATAAACCCTCGTCCCTAAACCCTAAACCCTAAACCCTAAACCCTAAACCCTAAACCCCCCCAAAAACCTAAAGCCCTGGACGCCAAAGCCCTAAACGCCACCGTCGAGGAGCGGAGGTGATGGCTGCCAGCAGCCTCAGGTCTGCCAGGACCTCCGGCGCAAGGCCTAGCAACTGAAGGCAACACCGGAAGGGGCGGAGGGTTAGGGCTTGGGGTTTTTGGGGTTTGGGGTTTGGGGTTGGGATGTTGGGGGTTTGGGGGTTTGGGGGTTTTGGGGGTTTGGGGCTTGGGGGATCGGGGGCCTTGGGTTTGGGAGTTTAGGGGGTTTAGGGGGGTAGACTTGCTCGAAGGCTTGTGATGTCAACCACATGGCACCCAAGCTTGAAGGATCTCTGCCCGATAGGGTGCTTCACATGCAGAAACTACAGTTGATGACCCGGAAATCTTCAAGAGATCAGGCGCGTCATAGTAGAAAGGGGACTTTAAAGAAGGACCACTGCACTCCAGGTCGGGTTTAGAGGAGGGGGAAGGACACCTGAAAGACGGTGTGCGTGAGTGTGTGTGTGTGTGTGTGTGTTTCATGTAAGTTTCAGGCCTGAAGTTATCGTGAGTAACGGAGTTTGCTGTTTCACATTACATCCATACGCACATGTATCTATGTACTTGCATACAGCATGAGGTAGCTTGAAACCACAGAAGCTACAGACGCGAAATTGACAGCACCGTCAGCACCCTTTTAGCTACCATAGCTATCATCGAAGTTAAGAATTACACAGCGCAAGACACCCAAGACACCTGATAACCATCTGTTCAGCTAGAACCGCTAAATTTGGTTTAGGACCTAGGTGTTGTATCGTCTGGCTGTCCTAGACTGCGATAAGAGCACTAAATATTTGGAAGGGATTGAAAAACATGCCATGCTGCTACGAAGCGCCGGAGGTTGTTGTATAGCAACCTGTTCGACATGTCTCGGTAGAATGCAGGACTACAACAATGTACACCAATCTGAACCCGAAGAGGAAGCCTCTATCTTTTTAGGGTTTAGGGTTAGAACAACCCTGGGCCCCCCACCTCCCCCCCGCCCCCCAATCTCGTCAGGGTTCGGGCTTGGGCGACCGTTTCGGAGTCCGGGCGTCTCCCCCAACCAAATTCGGAGTAGGCGGGTGGCTGGATTCCCTAAAGCCCTAAACCCCCCTAAGCCCTAAATCCCCAAACCCCAAAATCCCTAACCCCTACCTCAGCCCCGAAAAAACCCCTAATCCCCACAAACTCCATAAACCCCTGTCAGCCTGCTGTGTCGCCACCATCCGTCCCTTGCAGCGAGGTATCAACCTCTGGTTCTTTGTTTCTCATAATTCTTGGGGGGGGGGGGGGTTGGGGGCGGGGGTTTGGGGATTTCAGGGCTGAGGTGCTGCATTAGGGTTCAGGGCTTTGGGCTTGGGGTTCGTGGATGTTCTTGGGGGTTTTGTTTTTTTTTTTGGGGGGGGGAGGGGGTTTAGGTTTTAGGGTTCAGGGTTGAGGGTTTGGGGTTTCGGGGTTTTAGGGTTTCAGGGCTTGAGGAGGTTACGTCCACTTCCAAGCCTATCACTTGCGCTGTATAAGGGTACCCTATCTGGCGGTTTCCGAAAAGAGGAGGTACCCCAGCAACCACCTGTGCCAATGGACATCAAGGGTGAGGGCGTAGAATGCAGAATCAGGGTTTAAGTCAGCTCCAACCCGGATCGGCCGATGTTTGGGAAATGGCGGCCTTAGTGTCCGGGTAAACACCCCCAATTCCGAGCGAAAGGCCCTCGCATCTCATCACCATGGAAGTGGACTCAGGTGATGGGATTTGAGAGCTTAGGAGTGTATAAGGCCTTCATAGGCCTCTATGGGTTGTAGGACATTCAAGTAAAACGGCCAAAGTGGTTTGCAACACGTCTAGGTATGGGATGTGGAGATTTTAAGGTGGATGATCTGAGTACCCGGCCGTCGTGTAGCTCAGCCGTTCCGATGTGCGAATGACGGCCCTGCCCAGAATGCTTTCACTCGGCGGTGTTCCCCAGCCCAACCAACGAAATCACCGAAATCCCCAAACTCAACAGCCCTAAACACCGCAACGCTCAAACCCCCCACGTGTCTGAAGCTGTTTTTCAGACCTCCATGCACCCTCGGCCCAATCCTAAACCCTAAACCCTAAACCCTAAACCCTAAACCCTAAACCCTAAACCCTAAACCCTAAACCCTAAACCCTAAACCCTAAACCCCAAGCCCACGAAGGCTCCGAAGCCCACCCGGAGAGCACCAGCGCTTTGTGCGGGGGGGTCAATGGAAGCGTCTGGGACTTGAGGGTTTGAGGGCCGGGGGGGGGGGGGGGTTCATAGAATCTAACGACATAATAGAACAGAACAATAGTAGAAATGTACAACAAACCGTAGAAAGTGGAAATAGCATAATCGTATAACCATAACAATGTATAGCAGTATCAGAATATACGAGTGTTTATTCAAGGGTTTGGAGGTTTAGGGTTTAAAGTTCAGAGCTGTGGATTTTGGAGTTTAGGCCTTACGGCAACGAGGGCTTAGTCCCGCGCACCCCATGGTTAAGGGCTTAAAGCGCTCAAGGGCTTAGGGGTTTAAAGGTCTAAGGGCTATAACGTTTTTTGAAGGCTTAAAGGTTTAACGGTTTTCAGCGTTAAAGGGTTTAAAGGTTTTCAGCGTTTAAGGGCTTAAGGGTTTGAAGGTTTTCAGTGCTTAAAGGCTTTCCGCGTTTAAGGGCTTAAGGGTTTTTAGAGTTTTGAAGCCGCAACACCTAAAGCCAAAAGCATCGAAAACGTCTCAACCCGAAACCCCTAACCCCTGCACCCCTGCAGCCCTGAGCGACCATGATCCCCAAAAACTCCTGACCCTAAACCCTAAACCCTAAACCCTAAACCCTAAACCCTAAACCCTGAACCCTAAACCCTAAACTAAACCTCTCACCGTCGGCCCGAGCAGCTCTCAGGCTAGGGCTCCAAGGCTTATGGGATTGGCATACGCACACACACGCACTGTGATCCCACTTCCCGATGAGACTTGATTCGGTAGAAGTGAGCTGACCTCAGTCAGAGCATCGCTTCTGGCGGGGGGGCGCAGCTGTTTGCAGAAGTGCGCACACGCGCTCATGCTTCTGCAGCACGCATCTGCAACCCTAAACCTTTAACCCTGAATATTAAACCCTTAGCCCTAAGCCCTAAGCCCGAACCTTCAACCCTAATCCCTGAAGACGCACTCATGGCCCGGCTGTCCTGCACATCTCGGGGGGATCCTCGGTCGAGAGGCTGCCGTCGGATAGCACGGTGAAGAAAATGGAGAAGGAAAGCCTCAGAGGACTTGACCCTAAACCCTAAACCCTGAAAGCCGCCATATCCTAACCCTAAATACCTCAGACCCTAAAAATCTCCTGCTCCGGGGCCCTGGCCGATCCCCATCTGGAAGCAAGGAGCACAAGTTCTCACCTGAGGCGATACGGCAAGCCACCCAAAACGAACCTGTGCCCTAAACCCCCAAACCCGTCACCCTAAGCCCCCAAACCCCAAACCCCGAATCCCTGCAGAGAAAACTCAGTGGAACGCCCAGGTGGAAAGGGTTGTATGGGTTGAGGGTTCAGAAGGAAGTGTGAACCCTGGAACCCTGATCCCTAAGCCCCTGTTTTCAGAACGTTTAGTGCTCTGAGCTCGCTCAGACTTAGGGCGCCAAGTCGACATCCAGACAGGGCTTGAGGTTTAGGGCTTTGGGGCTTAGGGCTTAGGACTTAGGGTTTAGGGTTTGGGGTTTAGGGCTAGGGTTTAGGGTTACAGTTTAGGATTTCGGGTTTCGGGCTCACGGGGCCTCGGGGTTTGTCGTGTGCACTGCAAGGGCCCCCCTTGTCCCCAACCGGGGCTCAGCAGTTGAGGCTCTTCTAAACCCGTTTAGGGTTTAGGGTTTAAGATAAACCTTAGAGCCTCAGCACCTGAAAATACAATCCTCGCGAGCGCGGAACCCTTCCTAGACGCTTAAAACCCCCTGCGCCCTCAACCCTAAACCCCCAAACCCTAAACCAGAAACCCTACACCCTAAACCCTACATGTTTACTGCAACTCCTGGCCAGCGGAGCTCAACGGAAAGACCCCGGCTCAACCACCGCGGGAGCATCGGGTAGGTCCTGCACTCGTCCGTTTGCGTGGCGCGCTCAGGGGGTTGGGCTCTGGGTCCGGTCATTTTCGGCTTGAAGGGTTTGGGGGTTGGGGTTTTGGGGTTTTGGGTTTGGGGTTTAGGGTATAGGGTTTAGAGTTTAGGGTTTAGGGTTCAGGGTTTAAGGAAATCTTCAACTCCCCCCCAAACCCTAAACCACAACCCCCCACCCCAAAACCCAAAACCCCTTCTGGCCTTGAGTCCCTGCTTGCCTATGAAGAACGAGTAAGTATCAAACCCTACCTGCAAGGCGTTGCTTCGTTCGGGTTTCTCGGGGGGGGGGGGGAGGGGTTCTGGGGCCTCTAGGGTTCCAAGCTACCCTAAACCCTAAACCCTAAGCCGTAAACCCTAAACCCTAACCCTAAACCCAAAGCCCTAAGCCCTAAACCCTAAACCCTTACCCTAAACCCTATACCCTAGACCCTAAACCCTTTAGGGCTTAGGGCTTAGGGTTTAGGACCGTCGCCTGGACACCAAGTAGACGGTGGTGGCGCGCTTGCGCGCCATGAGGTCTGTCGCCTCGGGGCCATTAAGGCTTATTTGGTTTAGGGTTTAGGGTTCAGGGTTTAGGGTTTAGGTTTGGGATGCTCCCCCTTATACTAAGAGTCCTTAATCGGGATTATAACAGGTATACCTCCTCTTAAGGACTGTTAGCATAAGGGGGAACATCCCAAGTTTGGGATTTCAACTTGATCGTGGACGAAGTGCATGATTTCGAACTAGAGGGCCCCATCAAAGAGAAACTTCCCATCCCTGGGCCCACCCCGACCCCAAACACCCTTAAACCCCAATATACTAGTAGGGGCCTATTGCATTCAAATGGGTATTTTGGGAATGGTTTGCATTACTGTAGGGGATGACATTCGTAGTTGTGAAAGCTCTTGTGTTACGCCCTGAACCCTAAATCCTAAATCCTAAACCCTATACCCTAAACTCCTGCCCACTCAGGGGCCCTTTTTAAGGGCATTACGATTCTAGGGCTCGAGCGCGGTCCCATGATTAAGTAATTTAACATTGAGGGTTGGGTTTGGAGTTCTGCTCACGTCGGTCCACTGGCTCAATCCTTCAAGCGCATCATTGCGCCAAACCAGCGAATCAAGAACCGCACGAAACACCCGCAATTCCCCCAAAACCCTAGAATCCTACGGGTGGTTATATGGGCATTTAATATGGTCCGTTAACCCCTTTAAAGAGTTCTGACGTAAGGGGTCCCCGTTGAGAAGGGCCCATATTAAGGGACCATGAAACTACCCTTAGAAGAACCCACACTCCAAGCCCCTACGAATCACTTTGGCTTTGCGGGCTTTGGCGCAAGCTTACGTCGTGGCATCCAAACGCCTCTTTGACCTCTAAACTCTAAACCCAACACACCCAAACCCAACACACCCAAACCCCAAGTCCAATTTACGCTTTCTCAAGTTCGGCGGGCTCCGGGGCCTCTGTCGGTCCGTCGCTCCTGTGTCCGCGCCTGTTGCGCAGCGAAAGCTCACTGATTGGAGCTCTCCAAAAAGCAAATGCTAAAACCTTGCCAACCTTCTCAGAAAGAGTGGCAAGAAGATCTGAAAAGGCAGCCGCTCTGGTAAACCGAAAGCCCATGACATTCTTAGACCAGCCCTCACCGACTCGGAACCCAGAGAACGATCTACTCATAGCACCTGTCGCCTTTGCCATAACAGTAGCCAACTGGGCATATCCAACTTTCGTTCCGTGTGATGTCGCCCACGATGCCCGAGCTCCGGCGATTGCATCCGCCGCACATGATGTACCAGGGGCCCGACGTGTACTCATCACACTGCAGGCAAGCATCCTCGTCATAGGGCTGCCCCGACGGGTGCAGAAACTTGTCCTTTGCTTGGCCATGGTAGAAAAATAGGCATTTCCCTTATGCGCACGCAAACACGATAACCCTTTCTATAGGAACCCGGAAATAGCTATGATGTCAAGAAACCCTAGACCCTAAACCATAAACCCTAAACCCTAAACCCTAAACCCTGAACTTAGAACCCTCAACTCCTATCTCGGGCCTTGGAGCCCTGAGCCTGGACAAACAAGCGGCATAGCAGGATGAGATGCACAGAACCTTGTCGTTGAGAATGTTGTCCACCTGCGTGCGCAAGCGTGCGCGTCTCTGCAAAGAAGCTTAGGGTTGTAGGGGATGCACAGTAGGGGGTCGCCCCAAACCCGGATCACTGGAACACTGTGAGCAGCTGGGGTCCTGAACTGTTCGACTGCTCGACCCAGAAAGTGCGGCCTACAAACTACTGGGAGAGGTTTGAGTGTGGGGTGGGGTAATGTCAAGAAACAGAGGGGGTTCTACAGGGCTATAAATATAGCTTGTGAAGGTGAAGAGCGATTTACAAGCCCCTTGTTTAGCATCCCTAAACCCTAAACCCTAAACCCTAAACCCTAGATCCTAAACCCTAAACCCTAAACCCTAAACCCTAAACCCTTTTCAAACCCCTCCTTTAGCCTTTCGACAGAAGGCACCTGACAGTCCATGCAGGTTGGCTTTCCGTCCGGCTCGGGCCAGGAAATCCCTGTGTCATCAAAGGCCATGCCGCCTTCCGTCATGCAGTCCTTCCTGTTTTGGGGTTTGGGGTTTGGGGTTTAGGGCTGAGGGTTGAGGGTTTAGGCTTATTAGGGTTCGGGGTTTAGGGTTTAGGGTTCAGCGTTTAGATTTAGAGTTTTGGGTTTTGGGGTGCGCGAGGCAGCTTAGAGTATTGAGAGTGGCTGTGCTGGTTCTGCCAGACTGTTCTGAGCGGAAGCTCATGGGTGCAGCCCGGCTTCAAGTCTTGGATCTGCTGGCGTTTCTGTCGGAAGGGGCTCAGCTGGGAGAGCACATACCTAGCAGAGCACTTTGTCTGCTGCTCGGTGATGTTGTTCCGTGTGAGGTAGATGATGCGCTGGTCATACGGCGAGCTACAAGCACCGCATGTGCCGCAGTGAAGCACGGTGTGACCGTGTGGGACGTCATCCACGGATGCATAAGTCAGAGGTCGTGCTGAAGCGTTCGTCATGGAACTTATTGCGCACACCATTCGCGTAGAGTAGATGGGCGGGCCATCAGTATACGAGCCATCTGCACCACACCAGTAATGTGAAGTGTTGTAGGGCACAGCATACTTGAAGTCTCCCTTCGGTGGTGGGATGCCGGTTTGTGACAAAGTCTCATACCCAGTCTCCGCGAAGGAGGCGTTGCCCAGATACGCGTCTCCTCGGGTGCAGACGCAGGATGTGTGCTTCACCACCTCTTTGCCGACGATATAGCGATCGAAGAAACCATACACATAGCGACACATGCGATCACACTGCCAGTAGTCCTTGGCTGCACTGTGGTTGCATGGTCCTAAACCCTAAACCCTTTAAAGAAGGAGTGTCGGGGATTGACGCCCAAGCTCTAGCCCTTGCGTCAGGATACGTCAGCCCCAACCCGCAAACAAAAAAAGAACAACTCGGGTCTAAGGCTTAAGGATAAGGAAACACGTTTTCGGGTTGGGGCTTAGGGCTTAGGGATCAGTGCCACAGCTCACGCGCTCCACCGAGTATCGTTTTCTCTGGCATCTCCAGACATCTCCCCTGCCAGCGCCCCAGTTCAGGGTTTAGGGTTCAGGGTTCAGGGTTCAGGTGCTTTGGGGTTCTGGGGTTTTGCTGGAGTGCCTTCTGGGGGCCCTCCTGAAGTTAACTTCCCCCATGGCTTCCCCTTGCCTGGCACCAGCTCAGTGCCGACGCCGCCGGTCCTCTCAAAGCTTAGAGAACCCCTGAGACCCCCGAACTCGAAAGCCCTTCAACTTGGGATGTTCGCCCTTATAAACCTTATACTTACTCACAGTCCTCTATAGGGATTCGACTACCCCCTTATTATATTAGATTGTTACGGACTGTTAGTATGAGGGGGAACGTCCCAACCTTCAAACACCTTCAAAACCCTCAAGACCCTAAAGCCCCTAGGGTACGGAATCGACTGGTGCTGCTCGCTTCAACATAGCTACAGGAGATGGAACCCTAAACCCTGAACCCTAAACCCTGAACCCTAAACCCTCAACCCTCAACCCTAAACCCGAAACCCTAAACCCTAGACCCTTGTGGGGAGGAGGCCCCTTGTGGAGTTGGGCCCCCGCGGCAATCTCAGAGCTTTAAAAGGCGTATTTAAGGCCTAGGGCTTTGGAGCTGGGCCGAATCTGAGACTCGTACCCGTTTTCAACTCATGGTACCACATTGCCCTTAAACCTCCTTAGCATAGGGGTTTGAGGGTTACGGTTTTTGGCCTAGGGTTTAGAGGCTTAGGGGGTTTCAAGGGATGAGGGGGAACCCTGAACCCTAAACCGCAAACCCTAAACCCTAAACCCTGAACCCTAAACCCTAAACCCTGAACCCTAAACCCTAAACCCTAAAACCTAAACCCTAAACCCGAAACCCTACACCTCAGAGGTTGCCAAGCCCTGATCCTGCGAATCTGCATCAGCTGCGCATCCTCCTCAACGCATTTGGAGCTCGGCTCGGTGCCTGTTCTCAGTTTGGGGTTTGGGGTTTGGGGTTTAGGGTTTAGGGTTTAGGGTTTAGGGTTTAGGGTGCACGTGGTAAGGCGACAGTTCGCCCCAAAACCCTCCATGAACTCCCCCAAAACCCTAGGCCATTCCCAAGCCACCCTAAGCCCTAAGCCCCAAAGCCCCAAAGCCCTAAAGCCCTAAACCCTATACCGGCAGAACTTCTGTGCGCACCTATGCCCGAATGACTTGAGTCCCCACACCCATGGCCTTTCAACTCCCAGAATCTCCTCTGACCGGTCACCAAGCCTAGGACCTTGCGAACCCTAAACCCTGAACCCTGAACCCTAAACCCTAAACCCTAAACCCTAAACCCTAAACCCTAAACCCTGAGCCCCTGTATCTTGGTAGCCCAGTAACCATCTTACAATAAGGGCACCCTATTTTTGGTTGGCTACTCGATAATAAGGGAACCCAGAGCCAACAAAAGGGGTAAGGGGTACCACTGACCTACCAAGATAACTAAACCTTGCCCCCACCCCGCGTGGGTTCAGGGCCCTTGGGCTCAGGGGTTACAAGGCCTACGGTTTAGGCCCAGGTGCAAGCAGCAACTCCGATGGCAAGCACAGGCAGCAGGAGGCTCGCCGCTCCAAAAGCCATGGCAGTTGCAAAGTCGGCCGTGAAGATTGCCGCAGATCTGGCAGCCACTCGAGCCAATCAATGGAGAGTTCGTGCAGGCTGCTCAAGATTGGGATCCCCTTACTAGGTACCGTCAACACCTCTTTGGTATCGGATTCCTTGCAAAGAGGTCCCCCAACAAGGACGGTAGGCAAGAACCCGAGGGCGGACGATCTGCGAGGCTCGTTGCATTGGGATCCCCTTATTCGGTGCCGCCGGCACCTTTTTTTGGTCGATTCCTTCAAAGAAACGTCCCCCAACAACCCTTAACCCTAAACCCTGAACCCTAACAAGGACAGTAGTCAAGAACAACTACACACAAACTTGATCTTCAGACCCGAAGGTCTCTTCGGGGTGTTTAGGGTTTAGGTTTTAGGGTTCAGGGTTTGGGTTTAGAGGGCTGAAGGCGGACGATCTGCGAGGCTCATGGTACCTCAACACTTACCCAACCCTAGGAAACGTCAAACCTCGCGGTCTGGCTGCTGACCCCAAACCCTAAACCCTAAACCCTAAACCCTAAACCCTAAACCCTAAACCCTAAACCCTAAACCCTAAACCCTAAACCCTAAACCCTAAACCCTAAACCCTAAACCCTAAGCCTAAGCTTGGGGCATCTTCTACCCATCTTTCTCACATCCGACCCACCTTCCTACACGAATCCTCGGCTCCCGAACTCTCTTAACCTCCCCCCCCCCTCTCTCCACCTAAACCTTAATTTGAACCCTCAACCCTAGACCCTAAACCCCAGACTCTAGACCCTAAACTCCTGGGCTGAGTTTAATGAAACCCCAAACCCTAAGCCCTAAACCCGTTCGGGTTTAGGGTTTCGGCACTGCGGGATCTGAGAACTGTGGCTCCTGACACTTCCCGGCTTCACGAAGTGCGTGACGTCGGCGATGTGTACACCAACCTTTTGTTTAGGGCTTCGGGTTTGGGTCTAGGGTTTAGGGTCTAGAGTTTAGTTTGGCTACCCCCTGAGCTTGTTGGTTTTTCACGTCAAGTTTCATCTTTTTTGCTCTCCCGAGCAAAACCCCCCCCCCCCCCCAAAAAAAAAAAAAAAAAACACTAAACCCCAAAAGCTCTGAACCCGGAAGACAGTGAATCCAAGAGTTAAGGAAAATTAACTCTGAAGTTAATTGACCGGCATCCGGCAGGCTCGACGCCCCTTGGGTCCAGCACAATTAACTCTCGATTTAATTGGCCTGTTAACGTCGCGCGACGTAGCATGCCATGCTAGCAAGCTGCTCAAGGAAAACAATTAAATCAGGATTTAATTGTTTCTGCTAGACGACCCCAACCCGCAGCAGAATTAAATCAAGATTTAATGGACATGAACCAATGACCAAGCCTGAATACGGGTCGGATCGGGAACCACCTTAACCAGTAGGACACCCATGAAATTACGGACAACCAGATAACTAAATATACCTACACCGGAATGTTGATGGCATGGATAGTAATAATAATAATAGTAAGAATAATAGTACTAAGAATACTAATAATAATAGTAATAATAGTAATAATAATAATTATTATTATTATTATAAATAACAATAATAATAATAATAGTACTAAGAAGAATAAGAATAATAATAATACTAAGAATAATAATAATGATGATAGTACTAAGAATAATAATAGTAATAATAATAATCATACTAAGACTAAGAATAATAATAATAATGGTAATAATAATAATAATAATAATAATTTAATGGTAATAGTAAGAGTAATAGTAATAATAATGGTAATAATAATAATAAGAGTAAGAATAATAGTAATAGTAGTAAAAGAATTATTAATAGTAGTAATAAGAGTACAATTGTATCATGATTTAATGGTGCAAATAGGTACCAATTAGCAGAAGTCTCTGCTACACCATTAACTCAAGATTTAATTGTCTGCCAGTCAAACACACAGGAACACAATTAAATCTGGATTTAATTGTGTTTCTGGAGGGAAAAAGGTATGTCGAGGTAGGTCAAAACCCAACCCAAAGGCAACAATTAAATCAGGATTTAGTTTTTTTAACTTCTGGATTCATTGGTTTTCCTCTGAACCCTACACAAAAACCGAACCCAAAAAGCCCTGAGCCGAAAAAACAACACCGAACCGAAGACCCGAGAGACGCAAGCACCAAGGTTTAGGGTTTAGGGTTTAGGGTTTAGGGTTTCGGGTTTAGGGTTTAGGGTTTCGGGTTTAAGGTTTCGGGTTTAGGGTTTAGGGCTTATTTAGGGTTTAGGGTGTAGGGTTTAGCTTCAAACCCAAAAAATCCTGAACCCCAAACCTTTAAGACAAGCTACCCTCAAAGAACCTAACCCTCAACAAAGAACGCACACCATGGCATAGAAACGAAGCAAACCCTCCACCCTGCGAGCCCTTCACAACAAAAACACCAACCCTGAACCCCTTAAACACTAAACCCTAAACCCTAAACCCTAAACCCTAGACGCCCTCAGAACCGGACTCGCACGGAGCCCGGTGTCGGGCCGGGCTGGACCTGGCTCGGAGAGCTTGAGAGTCGGGTTTCGGGTTTAGAGTTTCGAGTTTAGGGGGCTGAGGGGGGATTGGGAGGGTTCAGAAACCCCAATCACACCCGGCCCCTAAACCCAAAACCCTTTTTGGACACAGAGGTCTATAACGGTTTAGAGGTTAGGGCTTTTGGGTTAGGAGCTCGTGGGTTCAGGGCTTGGGAAAGCTTCGGGTTTGGGGCTCGGGGTTTAGGGTTTGTGGTTTAGGGTTTAGGTTTGGGGTTCAGGGTTTAGGGTCTAGGGTTCGGGGTTCAGGGCTTAGGAAGCTTAGAGCTTACGCAAGCTTTAGGTTTGGGGGTTTTAAGGGTTTGGGGCCAGTCCGACTGCAAGGGTCAACCATGCCGAGCTCGACAGACAAGGCATCGTCCAAGTCCTGCACCCAGGCCCCCGGCGTCAAGCTACCTAACCCGGGATAAAATGGTATAAACAGGATAAACAGGCACAAAAGCTCAAAAATTCTCCTTGACATTCCATAGAATACTATACCCATAACATTCCTGAATATGCTACAGTACACTACGGGTAGGCCTACCGCTACCCACAGGCCTACCGGCCGCCGGGCCCACCGGCAGGGTACCCACAGGCCTATGCGGCCTACCAGCAACCAGGCCTACCACGGGCCGACACCGGCCATAGGCCTGCTACCTACTGGAAATTACTGGTAGGGCTACGGGAAGGACCAGGGCCTGGGCAGGCCTGGGGTGGGCTACCCATAGCCCTACGGCAGGCCTACCCATAGCCCGGACGCCTTGGTTTTGAGCTTCTTTATGCCGTATGATACACTAAAACTATTTTAAACATCTGCTTTGAACACAGTTGCCGGCGGCCCTCTTCTGTGGGGCTTTGCGGGCAGGGTACCCATGCTGTGACCCCGAGACCCTCGTGCATTGCGTGGCTTCGGGTCCATTGCGTGGCTTCGGTTTAGGGTTTAAGGTTTAGGGTGTTAGGGTTTGGGGTTTACGGTTTAGGGTTTAGGGTTTGGGGTGAAGGTTTAGGGTTTGGGGTTTGGGGTTGGGACTGGGCGGCTGTGACCCTCTCAACGCCGGCCTTGCTGCAGGGACGAGCTCTATCTCCGAAAACCGAAGCTCCGAAACCTCCTACACCCTAAACTTACCGTAACTTCCCAAAACCCTAAACCCTAAACCCTGGACCCTAAACCCTAAACCCGAAACCCTGAAGCCTCAACCCTAAACCCTAAACCCTCTCCTAAACCTTAAACCGTGTTCCTTGGCATGCGGAGGGTCGATAGTGACGCAGCGCAGGTGGCGCCTGAGGACAGGCGGGGGTTGGCCTGGGGTCTTCAAGGTTCGGGAGCTGATCCCAACCAGTGGGATGCCCTAGCCACCTACTGTAGACCCTAAAGCCTAAAGCCTAAACCCTAACCCTAAACCCTAAACCCTAAACCCTAAACCCTAAACCCTAAACCCTAAACCCTAAACCCTAAACCCCAAGCCCTTGAAAATCCCACGGCTCTGAGCTTGGGCCGGCGCAAGTCCCTTCGCCCTGCGGCGAGCTCCTTGCCCACGACGGCAGCCCTGGGCCCAGCCCAGGGTTCAGGGTCCAGGGTCCAGGGTTCAGGGTTCAGGGTTCAGGGTTCAGGGTTCAGGGTTCAGGGTTCAGGGTTCAGGGTTTAGGGTTTAGGGTTTAGGGTTATGGGTTCAGGGTTCAGGGTTTAGGGTTCAGGGTTCAGGGTTTAGGGTTTAGGGTTTAGGGTTTAGGGTTCAGGGTTCAGGGTTTAGGGTTTAGGGTTCAGGGTTTAGGGTTCAGGGTTCAGGGTTTAGGGCTCAGGGTTCAGGGTTTAGGGTTTAGGGTTTAGGGTTCAGGGTTCAGGGTTCAGGGTTCAGGGTTCAGTAGGGCTTAGGGCTTAGGGCTTTAGGTCGCGGGAACATCCTTGAGTGGGTTTGGGGCTTGTAGGGTTTGCTAGAAGTATTCGGCGTTGGGGGTTTTTGTCTGGGGTTTAATTTAGGGTTTTAGGGTATTATGATGCTCGGGGGTTGGGGTCTCAAACCCGGGCAGCGGCCAGCTGATGCTCATGATGCTCGGGGGTTGGGGTCTCAAACCCGGGCAGCGGCCAGCTGATGCTCATGATGCTCGGGGGTTGGGGTCTCAAACCCGGGCAGCGGCCAGCTGATGCTCATGATGCTCGGGGGTTGGGGTCTCAAACCCGGGCAGCGGCCAGCTGATGCTCATGATGCTCGGGGGTTGGGGTCTCAAACCCGGGCCAGCTCCCAGCTGATGCTCATGATGCTCGAGCGTTGGGGTCTCAAAACCCGGGCAGCGGCCAGCTGATGCTCATGACGCTCGGGGGTTGGGGTCTCAAACCCGGGCAGCGGCCAGCTCATGCTCATGATGCTCGGGGGCAAACCCGGGCAGTGGCCAGCTGATGCTCATGATGCTCGGGGGTTGGGGTCTCAAACCCGGGCAGCGGCCTGCTGATGCTCATGATGCTCG